TATGGCAATAACGACTCCCACTTAGCACCCCTGTCAACAACCAAAGCCCGCAACATATCCTCCAACGTCTGAATGGTCCTCTCTGTCTGACCGTCAGTCTCTGGATGGTAGGCTGAACTGAATGATAGCTTCGTGCCCATCGCCTCGTGCAAACTCTGCCAGAATCTGCTAGTGAATCTGGGATCTCTGTCTGACACGATAGTAACAGACACTCTGTGGAGTCGAACGATTCCACGGGTGTAAATCTCAGCCAACTTGTCCAAAGACATATTCATCGATACTGGCAAGAAATCAGCTACCTTAGTCAATCTGTCAACCACGACCCAAATAGCGTCGTGATGTTCAGACGACCTCGGTAACCCCGTGACGAAATCCATCGTAACCTCCTCCCACTTCCACTTCGGAATCAGCAGTGGTCGTAGAAGGCCTATAGGACTCTTGTGTTCGGCTTTGACTTGCTGACATGTTAAACATTTTCTTACAAAGTCGGCTACGTCTTTCTTCAATCCTCGCCACCAGAACGACCTTTTAGGTCATGATACATCTTAGTACTTCCTGGATGGGCTAGATATGGTGCGGTATGAGCCTCAGTCAGAATCTCCTTCCTCAACGCTTCGACTTTTGGCACCACAATCCTGCCACGAAACTCAAAGGCCCCATCAGTGCCTCGGTGAAAACCCTCGACGCCTCTGGCGCGGACTTTAGCATCAATGACACGAACAAATTCGTCAGAAGCTTGCTCCCGCCGGATTCTCTCTCTCAGCATCGGCTGAACCTGCATAGAACTAACACTCCCCGTAATGGCTGTATGAAGTGCATCAACCACCTGAATCTGCATCCGGGCGAATTCCTGAATCAACTGGCTCTACTGAGTAACAACATACGTCAAGTCACCCTTCACCTTACGGCTTAGGGCATCAGCAACGACATTCGCCTTTCCCGGATGATACTGAATTGTGCAATCATAATCCTTGACGAGCTCTAACCAACGGCGTTGTCTCATGTTGAGCTCGTTCTGAGTAAAAATATACTGCAAGCTCTTATGATCGGTGAAAATCTCGCATCGACCGCCGTATAGATAATGTCGCCAAATCTTGAGGGCATGAACGACTGTAGCTAACTCTAAGTCGCGCGTTGAATAGTTCTGTTCATGTGGTTTGAGTTGGCGTGAAGCATAAGCAATGACCTGGCCCTCCTGCATAAGTACACATCCCAAACCCTGTCTTGAAGCATCACTGAAAATGGTGAAACTCCGAGAAGGATCGGGAATAGTCAACACCGGTGCTGAAGTTAGTCTCTTCTTGAGCTCCTGAAAGCACGATTCACATCGATCAGTCCATTCGAACTTCACAGACTTCCTCGTCAGCTGGGATAAAGGAAGGGCAATCTTAGAGAAGCCCTCAATGAATCTGCGGTAATAACCAGCCAAACCAAGAAAACTGCGAACCTCGGACGGACTCTTCGGTGTCGACCAGTTCTGAACAGCTGCAACTTTGGATGGATCGACCTCAATACCTGCCTGCGTAATCACATGACCAAGAAAGGCTACTCGTTGGAGCCAGGATTCGCACTTGGAGAATTTTGCATATAATTTTTCTCGTCTAAGGGTTTCAAGGACAACCCTCAGATGCTCCTCATGTTCCTTCTGGCTCTTGGAGTAGATAAGAATATCATCAATGAAAACAATGACAAACTGATCGAGATAGGGATGGAAAATACGGTTCATCAGATCCATGAATACGGCTGGCGCATTGCTGAGACCGAATGGAATGACAATGAACTCGTAATGACCGTAACGAGTACGAAAAGCGGTCTTGGGAATGTCTGACTCCTTGATTTTCAGCTGGTGGTAGCCTGATCGCAAATCAATCTTAGAGAAAACACAAGCTCCCCTCAGCTGATCAAATAAATCGTCGATCCTAGGAAGCGGATATTTATTCTGGATCGTTAACCGGTTAAGATCCCGGTAGTCGATACACATGCGCATGGATCCATCCTTCTTCTTGACAAAGAGAACGGGTGCTCCCCATGGTGACACGCTCGGTCGAATGAAACCGAGTCGCAATAACTCCTGAACTTGTGCTTTAAGCTCCTGCAATTCTTTTGGCGCCATACGGTAAGGTGCTTTAGAAACTGGGCCGGCTCCTGGAATAAGTTCAATGGAGAACTCTACCTGCCGGTTAGGTGGTCCTCTTGGAAGCTCATCCGGAAACACGTCCACAAACTCACGAACAATAGGAACGTCGTGAGGTGTTCGTGCCTTCGGAGAATCATCAACAAGACTGACGAGATAACCCTGACAGTTGCATCGTCGCAACATCTTCCTGGCTTTCGCCATAGAAATAACATGGGGCAATGAACAAGTCTTAGTACTGAAGAAAGTAATCTGATCGTCTCCCGGAAGATAAAGGGTAATCTCCCGGTCATGACATCGGATATCTGCATGAAAACGTGTTAGCCAATCCATGCCGAGTATGAGGTCAAAGTCCCTCATCTCAAGCACATAAACGTCGGTAGACAATATACGACCACCAATAGAAATACTGAGATCTGTGGCTTTAACAGAAGTCACTATTTTTCGTCCCGAGGCTAGACTCACCTCGAGAGGATCGACAGCGGTAATGGCATGAACTCCGATTGCATCGAGACATCGTCGTGATATAAATGAATGAGTCGCTCCAGTATCAAATAAGACAAAGACAGGAATATCGTTTAGCATAAGCATCCCAGACATGGTACCTGGGTGTTGTTCCGCCTCAGTCTGATCGACCGCATAAACTCTAGCCTGCTGTTTGCCCCTCTGTTGCTGTTGAGGTGGCCTTTGAGCTTGCTGACGGGGCTGCTGCGGCTGCTGCTGGAGTTTCTTCGGACAGCGGTTAGCAAAATGTCTGGGCTCGTGACAGTAATAGCAAATATCCTGGCCAACGTGAGACTCTCCGCGATGAAGTCGTCCGCAAGTGGCGCACTGTGGAATCTGCTGCGGCCTCCGTCGGGTCCGCCTGTCTGTCGGGGCGCCTTTCCCTTTCCTCTTGTTGTTCTTCGGTGGTTGGGCAGTAGCTGGTGGAGCTGTGGATGACTGGGCAGGGGCAACTGGCTGCAATCAATCATGGTTCACCTCCCTTCGATTGCTGGCATCCACCTCCTAGGCAATGGCAACGGTACGCGCCTACGTCTGGGTCCCGTGACCTAGAATATTGTGACGGACTGTTGGGTAAAGCCCGTCAGTGAAATGCTGTGCTCGCTGCGCCTCAGTATGCACCAGGTCTGGAACAAAGGCTCCGAGTCAGGAAAACTCTCTATCGTACTCATCAACAGAACGAGTACCCTGTTTGAGCGACATGAACTGCCGCTCCATCTCAGCTCGGTAGTACGTGGGATAATACTTCTCACGAATCATCTCCTTGAATCTGTCCCAGGTACAACCTTCTTTCTCGCCGGGGCGCATACTCCAGTAGGCATTCTACCAGAGTCGAGCATCACCGGTCAACTGAAGCTGTGCACAAGTAACGCAATAACAATCTGGACAGTCTATGACCTCAAAAATCAATTCGAGGCCCTGAACCCATTCGTCTACAATACGAGGGTCTCCTTGACCGGAGAATTTCTCAGGGTGGTAGTCGCGGAACTGTGTGACTATCGTGGCCTGAGGAACCACCGGATGATCGGGTTCTCTACGGGGCGACATATGCATATTAGAAAGATTTACCATGATTAAGATTCAGGGAATATACTTTAACTGATCATTAAAGGGCACAAATCTCTTGACGAGTTGCTAAACATGACTGGGAAATACTGACATTAAATCCTGACTACTAATCCTGAACATGATTCGAGCATCTTAACTATATTATAACTGAGAAATTTCTGAGCATAGAAATAGTAATTTGTTTATAATTTAAAACATGAATCAACACTTACCTGTAGTCGGCGAGACGTGAGCGTGACGTGTTCAGGCTTTCGAAAATTTTCTGACTCGTGAAAATTTTCAGAGACGCAGAAACGTGCTCTGATACGAACTGTAACACCCCGCCTTAAAATATGAAAATCAGAGTACGGTTTTCGCAAGTTTTTCAAACTAAAACATTTAAATTGCGAAATACTGATTCAGAGTACTACCATAATACATGACTTACTTTCAAATCAGACTATTTTTACGAAAACGAACTCATAGTCTGCTGACTGGTCAAAAAGGCTAAGTTTGACAAAAAGTGAAACGTCAGCGGAAACCGTAGTGGCAAAACATGATAACAGTGCTGCGATCGTGTAAATAAGTCTCCGGGAGATAGCAGCAGCAGTGCTATGCTAAATTCAAACTGTACAAAACGTAATTTAAACTTTATAAGCATAACTCTCGTATAATTTAAACTTTATAAGCATAATCCTGAACTGATCGCCATCTCACACCTCAGGCCAGACATCATGACCTGAAAAAAAACATGATAAAAGTGGGGCGTGAGCACTAAAGTCCACTGTGCTCCGTAGGAACTCATACTAAAGTAAACAGTGAAAATAATTACAATAACATGATCATGGCATATATAACTGAACTGAACTGAACTGAAACCGGTACTGAATAATCATGATCTGATACTGATGGTGAGATAATATCATTACCTGCCTGATACCTGAACATCTGCCAGCATAAATGCCGGACACCATGTGCACACTCTAGTGGGCAGACTAAGGCCACTAGAAGCCAGAATGGACCAGCGATCATTCCGAGCGGATACTGATAATACATACCTCAAACATGGTAGAATAATAATAATCAATGTAATACCCAGTCTAAGTCCCCACCTGATTCGTCTGAATGAAAAGGTAGTCCTGATGTTTGTATCCTGATCAAACTGAAAAATAATATAAACAATTACTAAATACTATGCTCAGATTGATAAAAATAGTTGTTCAATATGTTAAGATTCTCTACTGGACTTAAACATGATATTTGAATTTAACCGGTATAACCGGAACCGGTTAAAATCGGAACTGAACTGACATGAATTTACTGAACTGAATCGGACCCGGACTTTAACTGAAAATGGAACTTAAAACATGAACTGGGATTTGAAATATTAATATATGGACTGAACCAGTCCCAACCGGTCTAAACCGGACTGGCCGGACCGCCGGCCTGTTGTGGCCGGGCGGTCGGCGGCTGACTCGGCCCACGGCCCTGCTGCGGCTGC